TATAAGAAAATAATTCCAATTTATATCTCAACTATTATAAATAATCATCAGAATCATCATTCTCATCAATGTCGTAATCATTAGAGCCATCAATGTCATAATCATCAGTGTAAATAATCTTCACAATAATCAGAAAATAGACCGATTCTTAAAATTACTACAGTTTCGTAAAAATCCCAAACGCATGTGTTCATAAGTTCTCTCTCAATTGAAGATCAAAAATCTACTTAGCCTTTAAACATCGTAGATCTTGAGAATACTCCTATTAGGCTATTGATTATATTATATCCAAAAAAAACAGGGCTAAAAGGAACTATGACGTTCAAGCAGTTTTATTGCATGAATCGTAGAGTGCTATTAAATTAGAGAGTCGAAATTGGATGTAGGGGTGAAAATGCACCCCTTTCAGTTTTTTAATTATAGCTCGAACACGAAGCAAAATTTCACTATAGTTCATGGTAAAATTTATTTAGAGAATTAAATTTCCCATCAAAGTGGCTTATTTAAAAAATTTAAAAGGAAAATTTTATGCAAAATATCGTTAATAAACAATTTGAAAAAAAGCAAAAAATTCGATTTTTTTATTTTTTTTTACTTGTTTGCCTTTAGTTTTTTTGAGTATAGGCATTGATTGCTTCATTAAAAATGTAGATAAAATTTCCTTCAAAATAAGAAGTTGTAATGTATTCTTGAATGAAAATGGACTGAAATATGGCCGCTCAAACTTACCATTTTCTGCAAAAAAAGGAAGGAAATAAGACGTTCAAGGATTTTCATCACATGACTTGTTCGAAGAGTCATTAAAAATTAAAAAACCGCGGGATGCTATTAAATTAGAGGGTTGAAATTGAAGATAGGGGTGAAAATGCACTTTTACAGTTTTTTAAATACTTATAGCACGAAAACAAAGCAAAATTTCGGTTTAGCTCATAGGAAAAATTTTGTAGAGAATTGAAATGGCTATTTTGACTAAGTTCTGAAAATTTTTATTTATTATTAACAAATAAAACTTTTGAAATAATTTTTTACCAAGTAAAGAACCAATTTGTTGTAAAAATAATAAGAATTATAATCATTATTATGTTAAAAACGACGAAAATCTAAAAATATTTAGGTTTGACCGGTTATAACTCAGTCAATATTAGTCCAAAAACTTTTGAAAACTCATCATTTTGAAGGGAATCTCATCTAGTTTTTTTGTACAGCCATTTTCTTTGCGTACTTTTACTAAAAAAAGATTAGAGTAAAAAAAGTAGAAAAAATCAAAAAATCTTATTTTTGTTTTTTTTTAAATTGTTTACTAACGATATTTTGCATAATAAGCCCTTTCGATGGAAAATTCAATTCTTTACAAAAGTTTTCCTATGAACTATACCGAAATTTTGCTTCGTTTTCATGCTATATTTAAAAAACTGTAAAAGTGTATTTTCACCCCTATCTTCAATTTCAACCCTCTAATTTAATAGCACCCCGCGGTTTTTCATTTTTAATGACCCTTCGAACAAGTCATGTGATAAAAATTCTTGAACGTCTTATTTCCTTCCTTTAATGCAAAAAATGAGAATTAAAACATATAACGGTAAACGCGACGAAAATCGAAAAATTGGCTTATTGTAAGTTTGAGCGGCCATTATTATATCAGTCACTTTTCATCCAAAAATACTTTTCAACCTCTTATTTTGAAGGAAATTGTATCTACTTTTTTTTGCGAAGCAATGCCTATACCTATCTTTACTCAAAAAAAAAAACAAAAAAGTAAAAAAAATAAAAAAATCGAATTTTTTGCTTTTTTCCAAATTGTTTATTAACGATTTTTTGCATAAAATTTTGCTTTTAAATTTTTTAAATAAGCTACTTCTATGGGAAATTCAATTATCTAAAAAAATTTTCCTATGAACTATAGCGAAATGTTGCTTCGTTTTCGAGCTACAATCGAAAAACTGAAAGGGGTGCATTTTCACCCCTATCTCCAATTTCCACCCTCTAATTTAATAGCACTCCGCGGTTTTTTCATTTAAAATGACCATTTGAACGACTCGTGTAATAAAATATCTTGAACGTCATAGTTCCTTTCAAAATCCTGTAATCAATAGCCTATATATTTCATATCAATGAAAAGATATAACATTACATTTAATTTGCTGAAACTAAGAAACAATTTTATTTATGTTGTACCACTAAAGCAAGACTGAAAATTTTTACAGTGTCAGGTTAATGTGACGAAATATTTTTACATCATCAACGTAAAATAGATACTGAATATTTTATGTAATATCGTTAATTAAAATAACAAATAAATGGGGTCCAAGTGCTGACCCTTGTGGAACACCTGAAGATTGGATTAAGTAATATACCTGAAACCATGATTTTGCAGATATTGGGATCAATTATATAGTTTGAGTTAAATAATTTTACTAGACCACTACAGAGACTTACGTTTCTTTTTAGCATTAAATTTTCCTGTAAACTAAGAACAATTTACGAGATGAAGCCAAAGGCTTCCGTATCCGACAATTCAGGAAAACGAAATTATACTTTAAAATTCCATTTTCACACAAGCAACTAATATTAATCAAAGAGGGTGGCGGTCGGGCGAAAGTTTCCGCTGGCGCGAGCATAGTTACTTTTATTTTCGCACAAAGGTAATTTCGCACCTTGTAATTTCATTCAAAGTTTATAACGTAGGGCGCCGCGCTGACTGAAATGCAGGGCGATGATAAAAATCCGGAGAAGTAACTGTAAACCTCGTAGGTGGTTTATTTGTGATCGGACCGGGTTCGATTGTTAAAACTGACGCAGCCACGATTTGGCAGTTTAGATAAATGAATTTGTTTGGATGGCTGCCAAATATGGTATATTCTCAATCAATTTCTTTAACAGATGTTCGGGATATTTCAGGAATTATCTTGGAAAAACTGTGTGATTGTCATGAAGTGGTTTCTAAGATTAGTCTTTATAAAAGCAGTAGATATATTTTTTTTAGATGTACTCGTATATCTTCTTCCATGAAGAACTTCACATGGTACTCGTATAACTGCAAAGTGGCAGAACCAGGCGAGTATTTTAAATGTATCTTAAAATAAAATTAGTATCTAATCAACAATACAATTCAGCTAGTAGAATAAATTCGAGACAGCGAAGAATGAATGGGAGTGGGGATAGATACGGCAAGCCGATCCTAGGCTAAAGCCAGAAGTCGGCTTCTTACTAGGTACAGAGGTTTTTCTGACCTCTAATGAATTAAAAAGAAAAAGTGCTTCATACTTACATAAAAATAATACGAAGGAAACAGATTCAAATAACATTTTAATTATATTTAGTTTTAAAACATATTTGCATTAAATGTTGATAATATTATTGTTCAAAAATATAATTAAAAGTGCTTTCGAATTATCCATTGGATTTACACTTAAACAAAAGAAATAGATATTAGAATTAGAATATCGTGTACCATCTACAACCATAAAAAAGAACTAGTCACTATAATTAGATGCAATAGGTATATGTATCTGTTTCTGTGGTTCAACGCGTTGCTCATTTCTAGATGCAGGGTCGGCATGCCTACCCGGTGATTAAGCAACGACATACGATTCTGACCATTGCGCGAATGAAAGTTCGGGCTAACTGGTTCGGCACAATCAAGTCGAGGTACGGTGTGCCGACCCTATTTCTTCTAGTGGCCTTAAACACTCTCTCATTTTCGGGTTCGTAATAATCAGAATTTAATTAATAGTATAATAATAGCGATAGGTATGTATGAAGATGTTTAGGTATTTATACATATTTTAAATAAGCGGTTTCTCTTTTTTGAGAAAGAAAGTACAATTTTGAAACTCAAACATTTTTAATTACCTTTAATACCAATACGAAAATTAGCTCGAAGTGTTTTCATTACTAAAATAATATTGAAAAGCTGTTTTATCAGAATTTTGTTTTTTTGAAAAGGGCATTAAATAAATCAAATGCATGGTTTTTGTCAATGCTTTCCATGTGGTATATGAAATATAGAAATAGAAAATATTCCGGGGGAACTTTTAAGATGCACGAACAAGTTACAGTCTTTCCGAAGTCATTTGAGCATGTATAAAAACGCCTAGCAATAAAATTTAATGAGTTTTATAGACGCCCCTAAAAAAGTTTTCTGCTAAAGGTACAAAATTATAATAATTTGTATATAATGTGTAGAAAATTTCTTTTATATGGCCAACAACATATTTTAATTATTTATGTCCTCAAACAATTTTGATATTGATGGTAGATTTCGTTTTGTTCAAAAGGTGTCCAAAATGCCATATTGTAATAATATTAGTAAACAAAAAAACCCTCTTATTTCTCCCTTTCGCAATTATAATATGAATGATTAAGAATGATTAAGGTACCTATAATAAATTAAAATTAGCTGAATCACACCAAATTCTGCATTGCTGCACTGTACTGCTAGGCAATTTGTCAACCACTTGTCAATAACTGAGATTTATTGGCCAGTCGTCCAGTGCAGCTGTGTTATACGCCGTTTGCCACCGCGCGCATTCTTCATACATTTCTATCACCTCCACATTTAGTTCGACCAGACCTGTATATGGGCATGGCTAAATAAATAAGAAAACAACTTTTTCAAATATTTCAATGCCGAGTTGATGCGTCAGCGACCGAACCTGGTACATACTGCAGCCTCTTGGTTCTTCAGTTGAGTTCGGAAAAAGTATAATAGTAACCCACACAGCACATGACGTCCCTGGGATATCCTCATTTAGTCCTATATATCCTAATCGGGGATCTCACTCCTCAGGATATCCTGATGATATTTAAATAAGATAAGTAGATCCTATCAATATCCTAATTGGGGATATCCCAGGTAAATCCAAACAGGATGTCCTGGAAATATCCTATGAAGATATTAAAAGCCGAATAATCTCCAATTTTGGGATATCCTAGGCAAATTCTAGAGTGATCCCATCCTGGGATGGTTCTTGGCTTTGCACAGTGCATGGAGCATGCGCAGTATGACATATTGACGACATGACCCGTATCTCGCCATTTTCTGTGTTTCTTTGTTTTATAAGTGCGTGACTCAATGACGTTTTTATTAATTTGAAAAGTGGAAAATGAAATTTAAAGCTAGTTAAAATAGTTAAGTGACGTGCATCAACCACCTGCTGGCAGAAGTAAGTATTTAAATTACCCTTGGTATTAAGGTATTAATATCATAGAATAAACATATAGGTTAGAATCGTTTATAGTATTAACTAATTTTGTTCTTTCTGTTTGTATCATGCAATAATTATATAATGCCTAAAGAACGCATTAAAAAAACATGTTTTCAAATATTTTTTTATATAGAGCCTAATACCATTCAAAAATTAGAATAGTTTTTATCACTATTTGTAATAGATGTGTATAAGTGGTATCACCAAATCTACATAATGTGTTCAAATCTATAATTTTTAGTTTTGAATGTGTTGTATATAGGTGTTCTGACAAAGGATTGTATCCCATAAATTTAATTAATTTATTATAGTTCTCTGTCTGTAATATTTGTACCAACATTATGAGTTATAAGGATTACATTATAAATCGTAGGCAGAATTACGTATTATCTATTAGAATATTAGAATTAAATTTAATATCAACAGATTATAATCCATAGTTCATGAAATTAGAATAGTCTCGTTAAATGTATTTAATGAAAATTTTTGTTTTGTCACTCGTCTACAATGTAAATGTATTATTAACATACTTTTTCTACAAATTTACAGCTGGAATTTCACAAGCACATTGCACAAAAAATTGCCCAGAAAAAGATAATGGGGAGGGCATTAAAACATGTCGCGGCATGCAAATGAGAGACTATAAAAAGAGACCAGATCAACAGCACATAAGGAATAGTTATACATATAATACAAATAATAACTTAGTTGTGTATATAACTTTGTTTATATTCTGTAATAAAAAAGTTGGTTATATGTATCATAGAAAGAGTTGATTATATATATATAAGTACATGTGAAATTTGCTTTTTAAGTTTATATTTATAATGTGCAATGAATAAAAAAATTCAGTTCAATTTTATTTTTTTATTCAAGAACTCAGTTTAAAAATAAGTGCTATTAAAGTTTATATTTTATTCTCATGAAGTACTTTAGGTCTTATTTGTTCCAGTTTAAAAAAATGCCTCAAACCAGTTTTATGAATAATATGAACCGTTGATGTGTATATCTAAATAATTTGGAGATGTTTCTGAAAACTTGTATGTAGTCTTGTCTGTAGTAGTTGTTGTCTTAAACAGAAAAATATCTGCCGGTGGCTATGTTACAGAATTTTCTCGTCAGATTTTAGTAAGTGGGTGAGTAAAATGTTTAAAAAATACATACGTGTATCAACGATGGAATACTTCTTGCAGAAAAATGTAAAATGTCTTTAAATCTCATGAAAAGAGAATTTTAAAACTACCCTTTACGTATTTATGACGAATCTAATCGACAGATCCAAAATATTGTATTGTTAATTTTTATTCCAGTGGTATTCAAAGAAATCAAATCTCGTATTATAACCGAATAGATAAATGATCAGATTTCCCTTTTCATTTTTTTGTCAATATTTTTTTTTAATAAAAAATATTAGATGGAGTGGAAATGGCAAGCAAATGTTTTGGAAATTAGGTACGTATTTGATCTATAGAAATATTTAATACCACCCTGTAATTTTTTTTATTAGCCCAATAAGTACTAAAAATGTGCTGTATATAGCCCAGCTAATGTCCTGAGGACATCAACAGTAAAGCCTACGTTGTCCTCATTTGATCCACTGATAACCTGATAATAGCCCGGCTGATGTCTTGAGGACATACACAGTAAATCCTAGGACGTCCTCATTTGATCACTGATAACCTGATAATCTCCTGCACACAGCCAGGCGGATGTCCTCAGGACGTTACGAGCAAATCCCGGGACGTTCCATTTGGATATCCCTGGTACATCCTGAGGTGATGGTGTACCTATCCGAGGATATCCTATACATCCTGAGAAGTTATCCTCAGTACATCCTACGAATGTCATTGTGCTGTGTGGGAATATTCCCATTTGAACCTAGATTTTTTAATTCTATAAAATTACAATAGGAAATTGTATAGTATGTACAGACTCTAACTGTTAGCATTGCTAAACTAAGTAATATTGATAAGCTGATAAAAAAAATGTAACCACCAATTTCACTATTTTTTCAATATTCGAGAAAAGTATGGCAACAAAATCGAATACATAATTTTTGTCTCTGTACTTTCATTATGCTCTATGGAGTAGTACAAAAAATATACAAGCCCTGAATTTTCTTAGCACACTGTTGGAGTTTTGAAATTCTAACATCAAAAGTTTATTATCCTTCAGTGGTGTGTGATGCACACCAAAAATATAATTAATCCCAGGAATGAACTGTAACCAAAATAAGTTTAAGTGATAATTCACAGATCACCATGTCCATTCCGTACTCGCCCAGTTGCACCGCTCTGCCATGTACACTTCCTCACGAAACATCCTATATATTCAATACTTAAAATAAATGTGGGGCAGAACTGCGTCGTCCTAATTTACTCTGTGTACTTACATGAAGTTAACTGTAGGTGTACATGACAGTTGAGAGCTAGCCCTCCGCAAAGTGCAATTGGAACCCCTTTGGTGTCGGAATTCTGTGTTTGTTGTACCATAAAAGTTGTTAGATTTAATGGTTTTCGAGACTCAAGCCCTCGCTCCTAAAATTAGATACTGCGTACACGTAAGGGTTTAATATCGTATTCAGGTTAAGGTCTTGGTCAACAATAAAAAAGCGTCTATATTGAGTGTCAAAAACTCATAACTTTTTTCTTTTAATTGAGTATTTTAATGGACAAAAAGATCAGTGTAATGAATCAGGGATTCTTAAGTTTTTCTTTAGACACAAATAATAAATATTGTTATAGCATTTATCATTTTTATTTATCAGGCTACTTTGATTGAAATATGAAATTATATTTTTTAGAATGCTTGTAACTTCAAACAAAAACGAATATAAGAAAAAATGTTTAAAATTAACCCAACCAGCATCTATCAAAATTTGTCTTAGAGCTTGTAAAACACCCTGTATATAGACGGGATTTTGTTGTGCGTGAAGCAAGATATTTATTCAGAATTTAAGAAATGAGTAATAGAGAAAGAACCTAAACCTAATTAGTGCTCTCAGTGGCAAATTGAAAGAAGAAAAGTAGTAAAAATTGATATCATTAAGTAGTCGAATTCAATTTCGATAAATCACGACTTTATTTTTTGTATGATTTCAAATGCATATAAACACATTAAACCCTTAAGGTTGTTACGGTCTGACGAACCATCGTCTAGGTCCCTGCTCTATCCAGTCTCAATAAATCACAGCTTATATTCTATATTGAACTTTAAGTGCGTCTCGACCATTTGGATGACTGGCTAGGGAATAGTATCGATAAGAATATACATTATGTTAAGAAGTATACGAAATTTGTCAATATTTTCAGTTAATCATCAAAATTTATTTTCAAATTCTTCAGAGATTTTTGTTTTATGGCTTCTATCGACTCGAAACATGTTTCATAAAGTAGTAATTTGAGTTTAGGAAAGAGGAAAAACTCAGCAGTGGCCATATCCGGCAAATACGGAGGCTGCTCGATGACATTCGTTGAGATTTTAGTTAAAAATTCACAATTATCGTTTTGTCTGATGGTGCATTATCGTGGTGCAAAATCCAAGAGTTGTCCTTCCATAAATCTAGTCTTTTGCGGAGGATACTATCTTTCAAACGCTTCATAACGCCCAGATATATTATCTGTTGACTGTTTCTCCATTCGGAAGGAATTCTAGGTGGACAGCACCACTATAGTCAAAAAATACAGTCAACTTGTCTTTGATTTATAATCGAATTTGACATGCTTTTTTTTGTTTCGGCTCATTACAAAAGCGTCCTTGTTCGCTTGTTTCTATGTCAAACTCGTAAACACATGTCTGATCACCATGGGCGTAGCTAGGGGGGAGCAGGGGTGTGCACGGCCCACCCTTGAAAAAAACATCTAATATTCTCATATTATCATCTTTGTCGGTGATTTATATTCGAATTAAAACGTGTTCCAATTTTCTAACGGTAAATTGGTAAGCTTCTAAATGCGGGGGAATTTTGTTTTGGAGGTCTCCATAGAGTTTGCAGCCTTGGACCCACCCCAAGCAACAACTGTAGCTACTAGTCCAGGCGGTACTTGTTTCGGGTTGGGTAAAACGCATATGATCGGAGATTTTTGATTTAACAGCTTCTAAATAACATCAGAAATGATAATATTTCTATGCAAATAAAAAAAAAGTGGGCTTAATTGTTATTGCAAAAAAGTATAAAAAAATTGCAAAAAAAAATCATTTTTTTCTTGGATTTCTCTTCGACAACTTAGCAACTATTCGTTTTAGACCAAAATTGAAGAGGAAAAAAAGTTTTGTAATTAAATTTTGATCAAGATAGAGTTAGTTGCAATTCAAAAAAATAATTACTGTTGTTGCAAAAATCGGAAAAATCATTTAAAAAATTGCAAAAAATGCTAGTGTATTTGTAAATTTTTTTCAGACACTTGAATAATACCTAGGATCTTCATACTTACTTTTTCCAATTAAACTTCTTAGCGCATAGAATCATCACACCAAATTTCATCCAATTCGGTTCGATAGTTTTTACATAATAGTTGTTTAATTTTTTATTTTTTTTAAATTAAAAAATTTTCAAAATCAAATTTCTAAAAATCTAAAGCCTTTGAATACTTGAAAATTTCACCACAAAAAGAAGAGCTCTCAAGCTTTAAAATTCTTTTTGAAAAATTCAAATCGGACGATTAGGTGAGCCTTGGTGATTGTTTAAACATTTTCGCAATTTTCACGCTTATAAACAATTGCAATAATTTAATGTTTTTTCAGTTTTTTTTTTATTTTAAAATATGGTTTGAAAGTACTCAGAAAGGCGAGTATTTAAAAAAAAACTGATGATCCGCCCATTACTTTCGGAGTTGTAGCCCGTTAAAGTTAACCCTTCCTTATTTACAACAAAACTATAAGGGCTGTTTTTTGAACCAATAGGATTCCGAGTACTTTTCAGATATAAATTTTCAAAATTTACAATCACGGGCGTCCCATTTAAAATGTCACTCAAAGATATTCAAGACCGCGTGAAATCAATGAGGTATCAGTGGTGGGGGGAGCAAACACACAGCTACTCCGATCTGAATTCTTGAGTTCAAAATTGCGACACTCGGAAAAATTTCACTTATCTCAGCGTATAATGGACCAATTTCGATGATTTTTTTTTAAATCGATGTCTCGCAACTAAAAAATTCAATTATCATATTTTCAACTACATTTTATTATTAATTATTGGACTTTTGACATGCCGCTAAACAGTTACTTTAAAAAATGATTAATTTATTATGTTTATTTATTTACTATGTTAATTTTCATGACCAAAATTTCTGCATGTTGCACCATGTTGTTGTTATTAATTAAGTATCCAAAAGATTCTTATACTTTTTTTAATAAATAAAAAATAAATTTTAGATAAATATTTTAAAAGTAAACGAAAAAATTAAAATTATAATTATTCACAATTTATGTGAGTATTTTTGAAAGCCTTTTACAAATTTATCGTACAACTAAAAATTAATACCAATTTTCAGTTGTTTATTTAAATAATTATACAATCACCACGGCTCTCCTAATCGTCCGATTTGAATTTTTCAAAAAGCATTTTAAAGCTTGAGAGCTCTTCTTTTTGTGGTGAAATTTTCAAGTATTCAAAGGCTTTAGATTTTTAGAAATTTAATT